TGCCCCCTGCACTCCTGCCAAATTTGAGCTTTCTAGGTCCACGGGAACAGGAGTTATGAATTTCCGGTCAAACACACACACCGACACACACACACACACACCGACACACCAACAGACACACTTAGCGAATTATATAAAGTAGGATTTTGCTCATTTCGACCACACCGAACGGGAGAAAACATTTTTAGTGTTAATGGGAATCCGAATTGATGTTCTCGGAAAGGAAAATGATTAAGGACACGAGAGCAGTAATCGGAAAGCGAAATAAATAATTGGAATGTCATTGAAATTCGCCATCGTTCCACTTTCGATGACCTTTTCCAAAGAGTTGTAGAGGATAGTGGAGACGAAAGAGAACAGCTAGTTCTTCCGCAGCCTCTGCCTGCCATCAAATGAAATGAGTTCAATTGAAAGATTTTTTTATTGCTGAGACAGAGTAGTAAACAATCAACGGAGAAGGATTAAAAAGAGATGTAGATTGGTAGATTGGTAGGGGTCACGATACGTGTCTGTCTCCGTTGATTTCAGCGCTAACTCCAATGGAATACGCCATATATCATGAATCTACGTGGAATTGCACTTCTAATGTCAAGGCATGGCATCGCCACCATCGCCACATTTAGCATCAGGTGTGAATTATAGAAGTCGAGCTTCTAAGCTCGAGTACAAACCTTTGAAAAGCTGAAGGACCAGTAAGCTTGATAAATTCCCCTTCTAACCTTTGGCACTGTTCCAAATTGGAAATTAAGCTTCCAACTGAATATCCAAATCAGAGTACAGTTGCTTTCTGAGTAGGCACTCCTGCCCTACTTCTATCCCCCCTTTCGAGGTCAAGCGGGCCAGGTTTCTCACTCCCATACAATCCACCCCAATCTCCGACTGCAAACATGAGCTTGAATAGACAAGTGTGCCTCTCTCGGAACACGACCCCACCCTTCCCTCTTCTTCCCCTTCCCTCATCCCCATACTTCTCCTCTCCTTCACATTTGGTGCCCTAACTATTCAACAATCCAAGAACAGGCATAACTAACAAGTTCATGTAATATAGTATATCAGCCAATAAAATAGAATAAGTGGGAAGTTTCTGTGCGCTTCGGAAACAAGTTATGATTTTTATTTTTGGTTAGTACAATTTCCGACGAAAAGTTAACTACCAGTTATGGATACTGTGAACGGACGAGTAAAGTAACACTAAAATGGTACCCGAGCACAATGGAAACTGGCATAAAGGAAGTCTCGTCCATCACCTATTCCAAAGAATATTTTACAGTTTCTAACAGAGATTTGTAATGTTACAACATTCGCATCGTCAATCATCAGCGATTATCAGCAATTTCAACATAAAAACATAGCGAATCAGGACATTCATCACATTTCAACGTCTTTGCACGCCGTTTCTTATGTTTTCGTTGCGAGACCAGATTTTTCAAAAGATCAAACAGAAAATCAATACGATCATATGAAAAGTATGTGGTAGAAATAAAAAAACGTACATGATGTTTTGAACTATTGCACAAAGTGACATTCGCTTTGCTGAGCCACAAAAACGGACCAGAATGCCGGATAGCAATAAAGCCAATTAAAGTCGTGGGTAAATGAGGCATACCCGATACCCACATGGGCGCCACGTTATCGATCGACACGTTTTTGTCGCGTCCTGTCAAACATGTCCGGCCAAGCCGATCCATGTCCATATACACGTACAATCACGTCTAATCCCGTAAAGTTCCGAACATATGTATCAAAGCGGTTGTGAGCAACCAGTCGCTAGCGACCGGTCGTGGACTATGAAAGATGCCAATGGCGCTGCTATCACGAACCTAGTGAGGGGATCGGATCCCGGATAGAGCAATAAGGCCTTCCATCTTCCTGCTTACAGAATGATGACTTGTTATGTGATGATCATCAGTTTGTACGGTAAGTTGTAAGATCAGACGAAACTTTGTATAATTAAATGCTCATCCAAATGCTACTGATTCTGAATAGAGATTAAGTGCGTGGGGTGTTTCTAAACGAGCACTGAGCTGATCTTCCTATTAAACTTTGGTTGGTTCCAGTTTCGCAATTCCTTTCGAGATTAATCCGAAACACCAATCCGAAAATATCTTTAGAATACACCACGTATTCGGATTTTACTCAGGAACATAACAAAGGATGAACTGAGATCCTCTCGACACTTATGAAAAAATTAATATGACTCATGGAAACAGGATGTTAGACTTTCGAGCAAATAACTCCTTCTTGTGGAGTTCACGCAGAGAACGCGATGACTCAAACTTTATCTCTACGAGGTTATTTTTATAATAGATTTAATAGAAAAAATTCAAACGTACGTGGCTTCCTTCCGTTGAACTGCTGGAGTGTTCGGAGCTGAGAAGATTGTGCTTGGCTCAATGTAGATGGCTGTCAGGCGATGTTCGTTTAGACTGCATTGACAGACAGCGCACTGTCGTGAACCTTTGACTATCGGTACAAATAATGAACATGGCATCACCTGAAAATCGAAAAAATACAGCTCAACAGTTTAGTTCCGATTAGAGGACGAGCTGGGAGTAAAGCAGTAGAACAAGGGCCAAATATGTGCCAAGTAAACGCGCGTGCCAGTCACCGCAACGCAACCGCACGCGTCTCATGTCAGCACCTCCAGGTCAAGATGCTTTGTGTATTACACTTAGTTCGTAATGGAAGAAGCTAAATAACGTGGATTGAGGGTGAACATGATTTCAAACTCAGCATTAGAAAGTAAGTGGGCCTAAACGGCCTATAAGCAGGTCAATATCGAAGTTCTTTAAGCCTGGAATCGTGCAGCACTTCTCTTTTCGCAGATTAGTTGGGGCAAAAACAAACTGTGAACTTTGAAGTATAGCGAAACGGGTCATGGCCTCAATCGGAGTGCTGGGGATTGCTGGATAAATGTTGATAAAAACTGGCGACTGCGTCAATCAAGCAAACAAACGACAAAGTGTTAGAATTAGATGATTGAAGAGGCTTAATTGAATTCAGAGAATGAAGAATTCGAGCTCCGGCAGTTGCAAGAGTTTAACACAGGCAAGTATCGGCTATCAGCAAATATTTAAAATTCGGGCAACTCTACAGATCTATTTGTTCTCGAAAAAGGGCAACTTCGAAAAAAAAACTGAAGAGGTACCTATCGAAGAAGATCAAACTGACAAATGCTATAGTGGTAATAAAGTACAAGCAAAGTTTGCTATAAGTAGATCGTCAATGTATTGATTGAAATGGACTGATCCCTCTGAATACTCGAACTTTCCATCACCCAAAAGTGGGCTTCCATTTCAAGACTTCAAGTGGAGGGAATTGATTTGAATATCGGGTAGGACAGCTGGATCAAACAAGCATATAAGTGCCTTCACATTCAATTTGTCGGACCAAGGCTGATGCGCGGCGTAATCTTAGAGGACTAACCCTTCAACAGAAAACCCTATTGTGCCTGATTACCTTTTTTATCTCACTGAGTCCGTACAAACAAACAAAAGCTGATCGAAAGGTATCAAAAAGCTGTATTCAGGGAAAGAAAATTCAGGTGTTCAGGAAAAGATCACAATTTGGGAAGAGTCCGAGGGCCGCTATGAATGATTAATATAAAAATACAAAGAGTAATAGGTTTTACAGAGATCTTACGGCTGTAGCGAAAGCCCTAGTCCTCGACAGAGAGGTTGATCGCGAAGGTTTAGGGCAAATGAGAAAAATGTGAAGAAGTCAATGATAGGTGTGAGCCAGGATTGATGGTTTTGGTTGAAAGATTCCAGTCAATCAGTCATTGGCTGCCTACCAGGGAAATCAGGAAGCTCAGTTTACAACGTAAAGACTACAAGGTCATTATGTCAAAATTGTTTCGTGCATACTTGCGAGAAACCCATTCCCGCAACAGAACGCATTCAACCTATTCAATGCCTTTTGTCTATCCTTCTAAATTGCTCGAAGTTATTGGTCAAAGAAAGATAACCAGCGGTTTCTTCCGGGCCTGTTCCCACTTACGCTTACTTCAGTAAGAAAACGCTGAACAGTTTCCCTCCCACACTGTTCAGCGTTCTCTTACTGGGTTTCTCTGCAGTATGCGGCCTTGTGTTTTGCCAACTTGTGGATCCACTCGTACGCATAAATAACGTAGTGGTCGGATTTCGGGGATATACGATACCCACGGTCGAGTATGCTTTGAATGAACCTCCCACACCACCTCCTTCTCACCGAAACAGCTCTGTCTATCAATCACTGACGAGCTTCATACTACTTAGAAACCTGTATTCAAAGGATCTGGACGGAATTTAATTCCCACAAGCGAGACATTCCGATAGACGACATGCCCACTGCGTCGTCACCGCCCTGTCACGGAGAGCGTCATGTCAACCCTACCCACAGCAAAATGACGCCAGTTCCCCTAGAGACGAATTCCTGGAATGTTCTACTCACAGAGCATAATTTTATGCCACATCATCGTCACTGCTCAAGATCTACACCATTCCTAAAGGATTACGTCATAATTTAGATATGGATATACCTAATCAATACGGAATCAAAGGAATTTCATGATATGATAAGCGGTTGACGGCGAAATGACAAACCGTCGCCTGGGATAAGCGACTCGAGCGAGGTCATGCTCACGACACGATTGAATGACAACAGATCCGTAAAACAAGCAAGATGTTCTGTTTGGTCACATATGAAATGCCAAGTCAGCTAAGCAATCTTGAAACATCTCGACAACATAATCAATATCGATCAATAACAACATGACAATAAGAATCGATAGTCACCAGAAGCTTACCGCAGAACTCGTCAAGTGTATTTCTCATTGTTTGTTCACGCACTTATGAATGCATACGAAAAGAAGAACGAGAGCGACATTCTGAAGAGGGATGTTTCGCGTCCAGTTGCAACACAAGCCGACCACAATCACGACATACCCTTGGCCCCGTTCGGAGAACTTATTTCAAGCCTTGGCCTGGAATAATCTAGGCACTTGTGATGGCATGTCCATAACCAGATAATCTTCTCCGATAGGTGAAATTAGTGACCACGATTTAGCAGCTGACAACTGGATTTCAGACATATTAAAAGCTTTTATTCAAATAAACTCGTAATAAATACAGTATCCACAACGAATAACTCGCTGAAATACTTCGAAAGTAAAAAAGATTCCAATACAGCAGAGTAAATGAACTGCAATAGCGATCGTAATGCATAGCAGGCCAGTAGAGCGGCCTATAGGTATCGTTAGGCTTTGATATAATGTTGTACTAGTAATGGTAGTCGATTAGGATAAGAAGTCCACAAGTGAGATGTAAGCATTCAAAATCGAGAGCTGTGCATTCATCTCAGAACAGTTGGATTACGATAATGATGCGGAAAAGAAATTAGAGAGAGAAGAGTAGGAGGAAGTGTCAATCTCAAAATAACATTAGCTCTAAACGGAAGAAAACCAAACTCCTTGGGTAGCACATTTCATAGGCAAACGGTAGCACGATAATGAAGCTAATTCTTAACATTACTGTACGGTGACCGGGAGAAGGAAAGACAAATCAGACGCCAGTCAACTGACACTTATACGGCAGCTCCGCAATCTTCCCATCCTATGGTCTATTGCCCTCAATAGAAGGACCGAGGTCGAACTGGTATCACACTCAGACAGAAACTTTTAATATTAGTTGTCATTTCCACACAGATTACTGGAAGCACTACGCCAAGGGCATAACCAAGAAGGCACGCAAGGAATGAGGACAAGAAAAAATATGTTGCTTTAACGATAACCCTTACAATCCAGAATTATCGTCATTTCTAAAGAGCAGGCTAGGTCACTAAAGAAAAGTAACGGAAAAAAAACTGATAAAAAACAATCGTTGGGGTCAATGAGAAAGTATAAATAGCAACTAATCACCAAAGACTAACATTAAAGCGGGGATTCGCAGAAAAAAATGAGCGATGAAATGTAATGGGCACGTAAATGCATCTAGGACGATATTTTGCTTAATAATCCTGACAACGATCGCTACGACGATCTCTTCGATGTCTACGACGTTCTTCGGCCGTCATATCTGGATAGGAATTTTATTGCCAAAATATTTACTACGCAATCTCACAACGGAAGCTTACTCACTATCATGTTTTCGACCTCCTCGTTCATCCTCAATATGGGAATCATTCAAGTCTCCAGCACACCTGATCAAAGCCGGAGATGTGTTCAACAAGTATAAGAAACAATCTTGTTACTAGATCACTCACCTACGTTGTCGGAGCTGTTCCGGGTAATAACTAACACTTTCTCCAGGACAGTACATCGATTGGAGTTCTTCAGACTCTTCTGAACGCAATATGTGAGATAATACCCCTAACACAAAACTCCCACGCAGCTGCACGCTTAGTATTAACTTGTTGCATCTACAGCTCACCTTCCAAAATCTGATCCTCAATATATCTTCTTGTGTCCACAGAATATTTAGCTAATTGTGGCGGAGAACATCGTATACTTCGTTCCACTGTCACTTTCTCAGTGAACTTAGCGCCAGCGCGGGGTCTAATTAAAAATGCAATTTCATCTAATTCATTACCATCATCAAGCCTGATGAGAACAAGTCGTCTTCCAAGGAAAAAAAACGATCTAGAATAAACTTGAAGTTCACTTTATGAGAAGAGAACTCACTCTCTGCGCTTGACCTCTTCGAGATGTTTTGCTGCTTGAGGGTTATTTTCTCTGGGGCGCTCTATTCGTCGTGGAGAATCCTTCCAATGAGGTGATTCGAATCTTTCCGCTTTCCTGTGACGATCTGCATACCCCGTGCGCTGCTATAACTGATATTCATTGAAAAACACATTGGTCTCAGCGAGTACTTTCAAAGTATAATTTTCATTCTGTCTGAAACTCGAAAGAGCCGGTGGATAAAATTTCGCCTGTCTCAACAAAAGTTTCCCATACTCAATTTGCTTGAGAGGGAATTCCTGACAGAGAACTCTTAATCAAGTCATGAAGTGATCATAAATTACTCCAAAATTTGAAAAAAACATGCTAATGCGTTGCCCATCTCAGAAGACAATCACTACTGACAGTACCGTTTTGAATTTGAAAGAAACGTACATCATACTCTTCGTGACGGATGTCCAACACAAACTGGCGCAGGGCAGGGTTCGTCTTCAGGAGTCGTTTGAATTCCTCGAAAGTGATTCCATCTACATCATCAGGATCAGGATCGCTTCGGTAGCCCTATGGGGTACATACCATTAGTTAGTTCTGGATAGTATAGTGTTTTAACAGCTGATCAAGTGCTTCTCTGGAAAGCGAAACAAATAAAATTTACCATTTTACCGGTGCTCTTGGTTGGTGGGCTGTGCTGGTGCTGATGTCGACGTTGTGGGGAGGGATTTCGTGAGAACTTTCCATAATTGAGATTGGCTCTAGATCTATCCTCGTCTTGAGCGTTTCTTTTTGCAAAGGAAGCCACTTTGGAATCAGACGAGTGGGCACCGTCTTTGCTAATGTAGTCTACAATGCGAAGCTCAGTGAGAATACTTTTGAGCCATCTCTTCAAAACTAACCTGCAAACATCCCCCGGAGGAGGTCAACTTCCTTTCCTCTCTCGTCCACTATTCGACGGATATTACGAAGTTCATTGGCCCGCTCTTCATCGCGAGCCTTCAGCACATCCAATGACGACTTCACATCTTTCAAAATTTCCAGAAGAGATCCCTGGCAGTCAAGAGATATTTTTCAAAAAATTGCGGAGTACAGACACGGTCAATAACATCACTGAAATTGGGAATAAAATACATCTTTGGGCTCGTCCTTGGCCTCCTCATGCTCATTTTCTTTGTTTTCAGCACTTGGTGCAATATTTTCTTTCGATTGTAAACTCTTATTCATGGCTTGTTTCAGTTTCGACAGTTTCGAAGTGCCCTGAAACTTGAGTGCTTAAATAACTCCCAACCACAGAATCGCAGAGCGAGGTACCTCAATAGTTTGTGAAACGTTTACTGTCTTTCCAAATGCTACAGTTTTCTTCTTCAGGTTGAGTCTAGCTGGTAATACTGACTGAGTAGTTTTAGATAGGCAGGATTTCCGTGGCTGTTTGGAGCTAGTTTCTTCCTCACTCTTTCCAAGCGGTTTACCACGTGACTTAGACACTGCCTGATCAGACTGCGTCGAACAAGTAGACCTGATCTGAGGTTTTGGGCGGCAATTTAGAATACGCTCCTCAACTGGAGATAGTGGAGGCGATGAAGGAGCAACTACCAAGGGTTTTGTTGTACGACGTGATGAACTGAAGCAAGAGAGACTAGTAAAAGCCAGCAATTGAAGAATCAAATAGCTTAAATGAAACAAACCTGGATGGCCTTGCACTCACACCTTCTACAGGAACGAATTGTGGGATGAGATCAGACGGCTCGACTTTAGGCGCTCGCGAAAGACCGGCTGCAAACCAAAACAAAATTGGATACTTACAAAAGTGGATACTATTCCACTATTACAACCCCATAAACTTAAAATTTTGATTTTCGATGAAACTTCGCCTACAGGGGTAATCCGATGCCCTGATAACGAATATGACCTTCACTTTTGGCGCTGGCGCCAATTTGGCGCCAAGGGTGTTTTCACCAAATTTGCTGAAAA